AGACTAACTGGCCTATAATTACCTGGACAATGTTTATCACCTCCTTTAAATATTGGACTAATGTTAGCCAACTTCCAATCTTCTAATACTCTTCCACTACTCAATGACCTATAAATAATATTAGCTAGCAGTTCACAAATAAAATCTTTAAGTTCCTTTAAAACTCTAGGTTAAATATTGTCTGGTCCAGGAGATTTTTAAATTTTTAGGTTATTTTTAAACGACCCTAAATTGTTTTTTTAAACATAAGCAATGGTTTCTTAGAAGTACACATTTATCAATCATTTGTCAGAAAAACTATTTAGCAAACCTAGCTATTTTTGTTTTGATTCTTGTAAACTGCAATCATCGTAGTTATTTATCACTAAACATTTATTAATGATACGTGATTTCTCAATACATATTTTTGTTCAGAAAAGCAAAGTTAAGGAGTTTAAGATAGTATTGGACATGTCCAAAACAAAACTGGACTGTTAATATAATTTTGTTTTTGTATAAAAATATTATTGGCAGTTCTAGACACAAGACAGACCAACTACAATATGATTACTCACCTGATATTATTACATGATCTTTTATTGAAGTATTGACATTGCTTCCTTCTTAGTCTGTAATTTAAATTCTTTTTCAAGATTTAATATTTAACACAATAAAGCCTTAAATGACAACAACAGACCTTTTTGTTTATCCACTAAATCATATACTAAAAAACTCAAAGCCTGTCCTTATCATTCAAATATTTATCAAGCTTTCCCTTAAATTAACTGCATCCATCACATCCAAAGGAAACTCATTCCAAAGGTCAACCACCCTGTTAGAAAAATAAAGCTGTATTAGTTGAAGATGACTCCTACCCTGCCAAAATTGATGTGCATCTCCCCTCAGTAGTCTTACCATTCTTATTATTAAGTAGGAAAAAAATGAAGCTATCAATTCCCTTAACAATCTTATACACCTCAGTCAGATTCACTCTCATTTTTTTTCAAGAGAGAAACAAGTTCAGAGATCGTAATCTATCCTCTTATGGCAACCTTTCCATCCCAGGTATTCTTCTAGTAACCCTTCTATGAAACCTTTCCAACAATTCAATGTCCTTTCTAAACTAAGGAGCCCAAGGTTGAACACAGTACTGCAAATGTAGCCTAACCAATAACCTATACATTGACATTATAACTTCTTTTGCCTTGCATTCAAAATTTCTGTAGATACAACCTAAGATCCTATTTGTCCTGTCACAAGCAACAGCACATTGCTTGGATGGCTTAAGAAACTGATGAATCAGAACACCAAGACCTTTTTATTCCATAACACTGTTCAGGTTGTTCTCATCAAAATTAGAACGATAATTCAAATTGTAATATTGCACACCTTGCATTTATTATAATTAAAAATAATCTGCCATTTATTTTCCCAACTCACCAAATAACCTAAATTCTTTTATAAAGTAACAGCATCCTCTTCACAGCCAGGAACACCCAAAACTAATATCACCATCAAATTTAAATAATCAATTGACCATTGCTTCACCTATGTCACTGAAATATATCAAAATAAGCAGAGGTACCATTAATCCAGTATGACTGAAATTCATTTATAACAACTTTCAGTTTTCTTCCATCTGGACACTCTTCTATCCAATGAGCCAACTTTTCCTCCACACCTAAAGAGATAACTTTTGTTAACAAGCCTTTTTGTGGCACATTGTCAAATGCGTTCTGAAAATCCAAATATACCACATCCACACCTGTACCATAATCTACACTAGCTACCTCTTCAAAGAATGTCAAAAGATGAGTAAGGCAAGATTTTCCCCTAGTGAAACCATGCTGACTATCCAACACAATTCTATACTTTGTTAAATGACTTTGCAAAACATCTTTCATTAGACTTTCAAAAACCTTTTCCCACCACTGATATAAGATTAACAGGCCTAAGTTATTGGGACAATTTTTATCACCTTTCTTGAAAAGAGGAGTAACATTAGCCAACTTCCAATCTTTTGGCATCTGCCCACTATTCAAGGACTTTGAAAAAGATAATAGTAGAGTGGCTCACATATCCAATCTTTAACCTCTTTCAAAACCCTTGGGTAAATATTATCTGGTCCAGGAGCTTTATCATTCTTTAAACTTCCACATTTTTTCTAAACATGCTCAGAGTCAATGTGACCATCTAGTTCAACCTTGTTTCCATTTAACAACTGTTGAAGGTACTTAAATCTTTATTAGTAAAAACTGAGGATAAAGTAGAATAACCCAGCCATCCCATAATCATAAGATATTAGCCTTCCTGTATCATTCTTCAAAGGCCCTATTCCTATCCTAACATTCTGCTTACACTTAGTGTATTTGAAAGAATTCTTAATATTAATTCTTACATTTTCATATTCCTGTATCATCCTTCAAAGGCCCTATTCCCATCCCAATATTCTGCTTACCCTTAGTGTATTTGAAGGAATTCTTAATATTTATTCTTACATTTTCATAAAAGTTTTTGATTTCCTAATTTCTTGTTTGATCAACCCTCTTGATCTACTATAGTCCTCCAAATTTCCCATGACTGCAATAAATTGAAACTACTTATATTTATAATGCTTTTCTCTAATTTATCCCTTATATCCTTTGTAAGCCAATCTTTTTTTTTGAATATTTGCAGCTACCCTTTTTTTGCACATTTGATCAACATATTCAACTAATTCATTTACCCAATTCATAGTAGATAATTCTTGTCTTATCTATTCAAAATTTGCTTTTTTGAAATTTGGAACCAAAATGCTGCAAAATATCAAATTTAACTGAGCAATGATCACTTGTACCTACATGTTACCCAATTTCTACCCTGTCAATTATTTCTTTATTAGAAGTTAACAGTAAATATAAAATAGCATTGTTTCCAGTAGGTTCCCTAAACAATTGTTGAAGAAAACCATCCTGAACAGTTTCTAAAAACCTGTGCCTTCATGATTTGACTCAAACGTTTCCAAGCCTATATGCCTGAAATTAAAACCTCTCATAATTATAATCTTAATAACAGTTAAATTCTTTATCTCACTGTAGAGTTTCTCATTAATTTCATCAGTTTCACTAGTGGTCTGAAACAAATTCCAACTAAAAGCCTTCTCCCTTTATAACCACCAACAGAAACTCAAATATTTTCCACAGTTTCCAATGTCTTGTGTAAGCGGTGAAAGTATTTTAATAAATATATCAATTATTTGGTACTGAATATTTTGGTTTTGGGCCATGGAAAAATCAAATGTCTGAGATGCTATTAGTATTAGATCCAAAATGAGCACAAGTGTATGTGTTACTACATGTACTAAAAAAAAGCTCAGCCACAAAATGTAATTCTGTGAAAAATAAACTGATCATTTCTGTGAAATATCTCGTTAAAATGTCCAAATCTGTCCCGAAAGGAAATAAAATTTATATTACACACACTGTGTAAAGTTTACATAATCTCTAAATACTGTGAATGTATCAATCTCTGACATTTGTAATTGGCAAGTTTTTAATGTACTGATGTTAATTTGAAGAACACAACTCACACTTACTACTAAGTAAACACCAAGCAATGTTAAGACTGTAAGATCAGAAACTTAGAACAAAGTGTATCACTGAAATAATTCTACAAATACATGTGAGATAAGAAATAGTTCTCTCAAAAGAATACAAAATGATAATTTCTTATCAAATTTATCTTATAAATAGCATTTTATATGAAAATTGTTTTTGCTTGTGGGATTATTTTTAAATTAAAAGATTTGATTTGGTCTCTTGGCTTTAAAATAATCTTTTTGTTTAATAACTATTCAGGCTCAAAATACACTACAAAAATAGTTTCTTCACAAATTTTACTTGAATACAGGAGTTGTAACTTTCATATAACTTACAAAACAGCCTAGTTATGTAATACTAATAGTACTAATGATACAATTACTTTGTTATTACTATTAGAGCATTATCGTTATTAATGTTTCGGTTTGAAATTTGAACAAGCTCTCAAGTAACGTTGCATAACAGATTAATACTTCGGGAAAATTCGGCAAATAGCATCCATAGAAACCTAATAGTACTACAAGTAAGACGTCTACGTCTGAATAAGATACGTCTACTAGTACTAGTTATAAGAAAAAAAAGGCAAACGAAAAATACTGTGCCATTTTCACCTTTTCAGCACTAGTGACAGTGAAAATAGTGTTAAGAGCTTAAATTAATCACAATATAATGTTATCAATTGCTCATAACGAACAGGAGTAGGCCTAAAACTGTAAAATTAATACAGAAGTTGTATATATATATATTAATCATATATCATATAGCAAGAGTGACAGTATACTTATTTCAGGTAAAATACGGGATGATTAACGCAAAAGAATTTAAAGGTATAAATTCTTACTGTTATATAATAGCACAAACGTCAAATTATCTATATAATTTATTAAATGACTAACAAAGTAACACTTTTAAAAACTTTTAGTCTTACTTAAAAACGGTTCACACTATCAATGCCAGGCGTTTACACCTTCACGTCGTTCACATTTCGTACACACCCACTCTGTCGGGAAATTTTAACAATAACAAAGAAAAGTACCGGTCAACGATTCGAATGATGTTCTTTTTCTTGTATATATTTATGTTTAGTTTCTTTGAATTTCTTCTACAATCGTTATTTGTTTTTTTGCTGTATAAGTTAATAAAGTGTATTGCACATATATATATATATGTATTTAATGTCTGGCTTTCACTTCTTTAGTTTAATACCACTACGACATTTATTACTTTCATCACAACAAAGGTTCCCGAACTTTTTCATGGTGCTACCTTTTGCCTAGAAATACCACCGTCGCCGCAACGCTACATTAAAAACAATTCGAGAAATTGTAGTAATAACCATAAGAAGAAGAAGAGTGATTTAATAAAATTTTCATTAGTAAAATGGATGGAGGTACAACAACACGTAAACTACCAAATTATAAAAATTATATTACTTCAGCATAAATATGTGGAAGGACAACTGCGAGTTAATATTCTTAATGCGAGATATACGCATATTTTAGAGATTATAGCTTCTTCAAGCGTGATTGTAGTTTTGTTAATCATAGTCGTGGTTATTTTTCTACTTTTTACAGTTAATTACTCTCCTTTTATTGTGTTGCTCTAGAAAGGAAAATCCCGATTCGCAGAAGCATTAAAATTTGATGTTTGAAAAAAATATGTCATAATTTTATTGATTTTGTTTTTTATTAGGGAAAATATAATAAAATATCACTATTTATCTCTAAATTTTACAGAAAAATAGCATATTTTCCGAAGTGTTTTTGACCCCAATTCAAACCTTCCGCGACTCCACTAGGATCGCGATCAATACTTTGTGAAACCCTGCATTGCAAGATCCAAGGGTGCAAGATTTTGTTTATTTCTTTTAACGCAACCAGAGACTTAAACTTTAAAATATGCAAAACCTTTGTGTTTAACTTCCTTCTGAATTATAATATAATGGGCACATCAAACACTATATATTTCAGTGGCGTCGCGACGCTAGGTATTTAATAGATTCAGGGCTCAGGCCCATAAGCGGGGGAATTTTTGACGTTTCACTATAATATTGATAATGATTTCCTATTTTGATTTTTCAAGACACCAACTGAGGATTCGGGGCACTGTCAAAAAAGAATCGGAGCACGTGCCCTGCGTACCAATGTCTAGCGACGCCTCTGATATATATCATTGAGCTTTTGCAACTAAACGTTATTCCATTTTGGAGATGCCAATAATTGGTACTGAATGCCAAAATAATTTTACATTATAAAAATCTAATACCTGTATAATTAGGTTATTTAGCCATTATAAAAATCAACTTTTTGGTTGTATACTATTTCTGCCAATGCTCATTATAGGGCTAGGACAAGGGGGGGGGGGGCAAACTTAATTCTAATGCAGAATTTTTCATATATGTTTTGAAGCCGTTAGAATTAGATGTAAACGTTTAAACTCAGAACTTCTTAAGTTCGTGTGTAATATTAACAGGTTCACTGATTTCCCTTAGCAGCTTAAAGAGTTAGGTAAGAGGGCAGAATAAGCAAAATTTGAGTTATCTTAATTTCATCTAAGTTTGAAGCAATGACATAGACTGGACACAAGTTAAAAAACGCGAAGCAATTTTTATTTCAGTACAAACACAAAAGCAAGTAATTGTAGTGTGTGGCCCATTTACTGGATATCTTTCAGCGTGTTTAAAGCAAATTAATACAATCATTTTATATTAATCTGTTAAGTCTTAAATCCTTTTTCTCAGACTGAGAAAACATGGCATTATATACGAAAAACAACAACACCATTCTTCTCAGGCACATGTACTAGGAATACGACTAATGTCCATTTTCAGTAGAAAAATAAGGGATTTTGTATTTTTGAAGCACCACCTCAACTGCCAGTGGAAAAGATCACTGTTTACTTCCGTACAGTAGCCTCCCATTTGTAGAATTTCGGTTTTGTACGTCGATAATTACTAGTTTCATATACCCTCTTCTAAATCACCACGCATTTACTACTAAAATATGAAAAGCATTCTCTTCAAACTGCCACATAGAATAGCCTTCACCAGCCCAAATGTTGATCCCTACATACTTGTAATATATATTCCTGTCCACACTACTGTGAAAATAGTACAAGTATGATTGTCTGTGCTTTTATATGCATCATCCTAGTGTGGTGCATTATCTGATTGATTGAATAACAGCTAATCAGAATATAAACTCTCAGCACGTGATTGTACTCTGGCACAATTTGTTTTTTCATAATAAATGCTCGAGCAATCCGGTAATATTTACATTTTTACCGTTTTATTTGTTATTTCCATAATTACTTCCAATACTGTAAATATTATCAAGCGTACCTGATATCCGAAGTTACAGAAAAAATATATAAATAAGCATATACCTGAGTTGTTTTAGTGTTATCATATCTCTAAAATTTAGTATGCGTTAACAAGTAAGCGAATCGTAAACATACCATTAATTAGCGCAGTATTCTAACAAGAGCCCATTGTAATAGAAATTTCTTAAATTAATGAGTTTTTTTTTTTTTTTTACGGGTCTGTCTAACTCTACCAATATTTGATTTACTTATTTATAATTCACACAAGGGATGTTTAGTTAAATAAATTTGAAAACTAAAAACAATTTCATATGTAAAAAAATTAAGGTGTTTTGAGTATGGGCCACAAACAGAAAAACTATATTTTAACTGTACTTACCTTTTAGGAAAAGCAGTTTTGTAACTTTAATAAAATCACCAATAAAATGTTAAAAATAGGGACCAGAGAATTAATTCTTAAACGATCTTGGAACAGAAATAGTGTTGTAGTTGTATCTGTTTTTGATAAAACAGAATAGAGATGGAAAAGAAATTTGTCAATGATTAGAATTTCAAAAAAATGGGTATGCCCTACGTTTACTATATATATATGCATGCACATGATTAACAATAACTACCATTTCTATAACACCTATTACTTACTCTGTTAGTTGGAAAATAATTAAGCAATTTTTCTTAAAGTACGAGTTTTCACTAATTATAATAAATTCTGAAAGTCAGGACTAAACGCTATGTAACATATATACTTTCTAAGCATTTGACCAGAATAGAAATTATTACTATGCTTAACTGCGAAGGATTTTTGTTATGGTTTAGGGTGGTGTAATGTTTACTATTTTACACACATATTAATGATTATTTCAGAATCTCGGTTATTTGAAAAAACAATAAAAAACTGGCTAAAATAAATTATTAAATCGTGTTATGTATGCTTATGTTTAAATGCGTTAGAAAACAAGTGTATATAGAAGAAATGTCTATTAAATCGTGTTATGTATGCTTATGTTTAAATGCGTTAGAAAACAGGTGTATATAGAAGAAATGCCTAGTAAATCGTGCTATGTAAGCTTATGTTTAAATGCGTTAGAAAACAGGTGTATATAGAAGAAATGCCTATTAAATCGTGCTATGTAAGCTTATGTTTAAATGCGTTAGAAAACAGGTGTATATAGAAGAAATGCCTATTAAATCGTGTTATGTAAGCTTATGTTTAAATGCGTTAGAAAACAGGTGTATATAGAAGAAATGCCTATTAAATCGTGTTATGTAAGCTTATGTTTAAATGCGTTAGAAAACAGGTGTATATAAAAGAAATGTCTATTAAATCGTGCTATGTAAGCTTATGTTTAAATGCGTTAGAAAACAGGTGTATATAGAAGAAAGCTACACGAGGGCTATCTGCGCTAGCCGTCCCTAATTTAGCAGTATAAGACGAGAAGGAAGGCAGCTAGTCATCACCACCCACCGCCAATTCTTGAGCTACTCTTTTACCAACGAATAGTGGGATTGACCGTCACATTATAACGCTCCCACGGCTGAAAGGGCGAGCACGTTTGGTGTGACGGGGATTCGAACCTGCGACCCTCAGATTGCGAGTCGAGCGCCCTAACCACCTGGCCATGAAACAATCGTTCGGAAAAGTAAAAAAAAAGAAAAAAAAAGAGTTATGGAGTTACAATCCTTAAAAGTTGTTTCTATGTTTGTAAATAACAAATTGTTATGAAACGTTTTGTTAACTATTTTGTAAAATTATAGCTCAGAAAAATGATTGTGATATACTGTACTGCTTCAGAATTTAAATCTACATAAATATAATGGTACAGTCTGCTGTCTATTGTATGTCCGTGTAACTACTTCGCAGGGTGTGGATGGATCTTCACCAAAGCTGGTATGGAGGCTCATTGGGTCTATGCGGGGGTATATACAAGTTTTCAGTTTTTCATATTGCGTTTTACGGTTTTTATGGACATTTTTTGCGTTATTTACCACTACTTCGCTCTCTGTAGATGGATCTTCACCAAATTCGGTATGGAGGTTCATTGGGTCCATGGGGAGATACATAAAAATTTTCGGTTTTGCGTATGAGTTTTTTATTGGCGTTTTTTACCATTACCTAACTTCCTGTGGATGGACCTTCACCAAATTTGGTATGAAAGTTTCTTGGGTCCATGCGGATATACATGCAAATTTGCGGTTTCACTTTTTGTGTTTTGCTGTTGTTATGGGCGTTTTTTACAATTGCATATAAGGGAAGCAGCTTTTCACGTCCTAAGATAACCTTTCATTAATCGTGAATTTACATAACTTGCGTCCAGGGGACGGGTACTCCAGCTAGTGCTAAATAAAACAATTACGACACTTATGATATACAACATTGTTTATTGACAAAAAGGGGACATGGATAAACGTTTCGGAATTCGATCAGATTCCATCTTCAGTATCTAAAACAGAATAAAATGAATTTACACCAGTCTTTATACATTTTCAAAGTACAGTTGCTAAATAATTACATTATGATATCTAAAGTATTTTACATGACCTCGTTCTTGTTCTTTCACTGTAAAACAACACCTGTGTAGTGCGAGACAATGATGGCTCTTATGTTTGTCACAATTGTAATAATTTTCCCAGTATTACAAATTTGGTATAGTCAAGATATTTCCCAGCGTTTCAAAAAACAAATTAATCAAACTGTAAGTGTAAGCAGTTATTACTTTATCAAAATGATAATAACTTAATGTATTTCCCATGTATAATATTAAAGTGAAATGCTGAGAAAAACTGCATAACATTAAAGGGTTTTCCAAGCGATATAACCTACAATTAAAAACCAACTTTATTATTCTGAGCGCCCTACTGTAGAAATATTCTGTATCAATTGTTTTGAAATATTTGGACATTTTCTTCTTGCCATCCAAAACGACAACAACAAAATTATATTCATGAACGTTAGTTTGGAAGAGAAATAATCCAATTCATTTACTGAATCTATCAAGTCTAACATATTTACATGTTTAAAATGCAGTTAAAGTTAGGTTTAATATGTTGCTTAACCGATAACTAACGACAGACTAGTATGCTGTAGATTCGAAGCAGTTTTCCATACAGACGCAAAGAAAAACACCAAAAAACAACAACACTTTTTTTAAGAAATGAAGAGATTAGTCGGGTAAGTTATACATCGTATGCATTCTTCTTGACCTGAATAAACTAGTTAAGTAACAAAAAGCGCAACATTTACAGAAAGCTCACAAGATAACACCTCATTTGTTCACACACACTCGTTAAACACTGCACTATGTAGGGTCATTATAACATTGCATTGTGAATAAATAAAATGCATTAAAAGTCTCATCAATAGATGAATTAGACATGTTGAAAATAGGTCATGTAAGTATAAATTGTCAAAAAAGAAACTTGCATCCAAATAATAGGCCAAAGGAACGTCAACCTCAAAGCTTAAATAAACTTGAAGTACAAAGTAGCAAAACCTAAAATAGGATTTACACATAGACTTCCGTTTGCTCTAGTAATTGTGAATTTGTCTGTTCATTTTTGTTAATTTTTGAGAAATAAAATCAATAGTAACTTGTATACATATATAGTTATTTGTGTGTATATGCGTGGCGTGTTTTCCTCGCAATTTTGTCTTCATCTTATTAACGCTAAACTATGCACGCACATATAATTTTTAAAGTATGTTATAAATTCTTATTTGAGTTTTGTGAATACGCACATCTGCTACCCATTTTTTGAGGTTTTACTCAAAGTTGGCATTCAGAGTTATTACGAGGTCAACTGGGCAGTTGGTGCAAGCGATGGCATATTTTACGTTCATTCCTCGAGTGACTGCCACAGGCAGACGTACAGATGAGACATTTAGTTTCCACTCGTTGATTGTTATTGGTCATAAAATAAACTTGCATTGCTGATGGATGACTCTGTTTATTTTAATGGTCTGGCTTGTTTCAACCCGCTAAGTGTCGAGCCTTATCCTATACTCCAGTTAATTATGTCATGATAAGCAGAGTCATGTTTCAGTACACATCCTGTAGCGATGTCATGATATGCCGAGTCATCGTTTAACCACTTACCCAGTAACAATATCATGATATGCAGAGACATCATTTTAAACACTAATCCATTAAGGATGTCATGATATGTAGTCATCGTTTAAGCACTAAGCTAGTTTATAACTTTCCATGTTAACTTCTATTTTATATAATTAAGCTAAGTTTTGCTTTGTTAATTTTAATTATCAAACGATATATTATTTTTTATTATTATTCAGTTATCATCACAGAAAGTATATTCAGTAACTAACTTTACTTGTGTCAAGAATAAGTGTAATTTTTGCTTACAAAAGGGCGCGAGTTAGCCCTGTGGTGGAGCTTTGGATTTCGGACCTAGCGAACAGAGTTCAATCACGTACGACGCCACAAAATATTCCCTACACTTTAAGCTATTGTTGCATTATAAGAATTAATTGCGTGAATCATTGGTGGTATGGTGCTGCCGACTGGCTGCCTTCTCTCTGGCCATTTGTTCAAAATTAGGCGGCAAATAGCTTAAGTATCTTTACCATAAATTCAAAGTACGAATACAAAGCTTGCAAGCGCATTTCTAGATGTTACAACTAAGTTAAAATGTTTTTGGAAATTTAAAGTTTAGTTTGAAACTCAGAGTTTATTCCCGCATAAATGTAATATTTCTATTTTAACTGTGGTAATTTGAAGATAGCTTTGATATTCGGAAACATCTGTTAGTTGAGTTTTTGCAAAGATGTTAAAATATAACGTTCATAAATGGAAACATCAGCTCATGTAGATACGTAGATCTTGAAAGTCGAGTTGTTCAAAACTTGAAAATAGCGTTGATAATTGGACCAATTGTTGGTTGAGATGTTGCAAAAGAAATATCTACTGAAGCTTTTCGTCAGACACTAATCATAGCAAAACCGTCTGGAAAATGATCTCTGGGAATTAGTACAGCTTATAAAATGAGTCAGATCAACATAAGCGCTTATTGGCATGACCTTTAGCCAATCAGGAAATGTCACAGACCTACTGAAGGATGAGTAAGTAAATTGTATAGGAATTATTTTTGGCGGCAAAGGACAGGTTTGTGTGTTTTAATAAAGGTGGCTTCCAAGATATAGAGATGAAAGGTCGGGTTCACTAGTAAATGCTGGACAATCGCTGATTCACATTTTGGTGGTAGAACGTTTGTTTTACAGGAGCGACTTGGAAATTCTTTACTTTCACACTCTTATTTCTTATGGATGTGGGTACATGTTGTTTAATTCTATCCTGCAGTCTTTGTGAAGTGCGACCTACGTACCGACATTCGCAGTGGCACGAGAATTCATAAATAACCATACTTTTCCGTGTGGCAGGTATCGCATCTTTTTGTGTTGCAGGCAACAACTTACGTGTAGAATAAGCACAGTAGGGGTTCACTGCAGGAAAACATTTAGTAATGGCCGTTTTCAATTGTTTTTCAAATTTTGTTGATATGTTACCAATCCATGGTAATTTTAGGTAAACTGGGCACTTGTTAGGACCAAATTTTGGATCAGTTGAGAAGCTCGTAATTTTCCTTGAAGTAATTTGATTGATGACCCATTTTCTAGTAACATAGTTTTACTTGTCTTCAATTCAAGATCCAGTTTAGATTTTGAACAGATAACTAGAGCCTGATGGACTAAAGTAGCAATGAGGTTCGTTTTGGGACTGAAAGAATCCCACCGTGTGTGTTGTCCTGTAAAGGTAGATTTTCTGTATGTACTAGTGAGAAAACGAATGTCATCTTTTTCAACTAAAATCTCAAGGAATGGTAAAGAGTTATGTTGTTCCTAAATGTTTGCCTGCAGTTTTCCTCAGATTGTGAGTCGAGCATCCTAACCACCTGGCCATGCCGGGCCACTACCGTGTATCTTGATATTAAAAATACCAATGAATATCAGCAGCTTACACCTAAAAATCGCCAATCATAACCCTAAAAAATTAAAGCGCCCTTCAAAAAATTCTCTATCCACGCCTGACTGTGAAGAAAACTTGAAACTGATTTCTAATTTGTCTTATGTAAAAACTTATCAGGTTAGTTGTCGTTAATAGCCTTCCTGAAATAATATTAATTTGATGATAGCTTGGTAGATCTAAAGCCTGATGGCCACCTTATTTGCTTGTATTATGAACAAATGTGAGTAGGCCCACTAGAAGTCTTCAGCTCCAGGCCTGGTAGACCCGTAATCCGGCCCTGGTTTAACAGTTTAAATTTTAATGTTTAATTTTAGATGTGTAACAAAGTATTGTTTATTGAACATGCGATGTTTAGATACAAACGATTTACATGAAAATATTTTTGATAACGAAGTTTAATAAGAAGTTAAAGGTGAAAAAGCATGAAATATTCATGTTGAAGATAAAAATGCAGGTGTACTTTTCCTTGGGCATACTCACAAGGATAACTTCTGATCAAACACTGGATTGTTAGAACCCTTCACTATAGAAGTTTTCCATGATGTTTGCTGACCCTCCTCAGGATAAATTGACACCTAGTGTCGGTAACATAAAAAACAACCACATTAATTTCAAAACTTGGAATTAAGTTGTTGATATTGTTGTTTTTTAGAATAAAGTGTAAGGAATGATAAATATAGGATTATAATTTTTCTATTGATAACATAAATAACAAAAGTATTTAATAAATACATAATAATATTTTTCTTGGTATAAAAACAAATAAAAGAGTTTCATTTTTTAACTGAATAAATACTAAAATAACATGCATGAATTATTTTAATTTAGTACGCATTACACAGAGGGTTGAGCACATTATATTAAAACTGTTTTGAATATGCAAATCAGCAAATGCGAGAAACATGATCTATATAAATTCACAGTAAAACCCATGTATCAGAACTACATTTTGACAATATTTGGCATTATATGGCTTATGGAAAGCAGCAGGAAGGAAGAGTGTGCTTTCTATGTCACAGGCTTACATAACAGTGCTCACAAATTAAAGATATATTCAGCTGTTATGTGTTTAATACAAAAGCCATAATATTCTTCATGGTCCCATTCTTATATAGATCAAACAGGTGTGAGATGTTCTAAAATAAAACTGTGAAATTGTAGCAAGATCTTTGTATATACCAGCTTCTACAAATGGAGCTCATACCTTGACGTAAGCATTCACTTGCCGATATCTATGAGACAAATAGGCCGCCCTCATTACTGAAATAAAAGTTTGAAATACTTAAAAGATGTTATCAATTACAATAATAAATTCATACAGAAAAATAAAATAATATCTTCAACATTTTGAATAATTAAAATAACAATGCAAATAAGCTAAATGTATTTCGTAAAAAAAAAAGAAATTTAATACATTTCCTGCACTGTTTTTAACTTTGGGTTGAAACCAAAATATCCCCAAGCTATTACCATGGGTGTACTGTTACAAAAGGGTAACATAGCACTGCTTCTGCATTTGAAATTGGAGCTGAGTCCCAACAATAGTTAGGGCGAGACCTTGGCAAAAAAAAAGGATGCTGCCTTATATGTAAAAGACTTATCAATATTACTAATTCACTTGTTCTATAGTTTTCGTTTCTATAATTAATATATTGTATAATATCTATTTGCCAAGAACATAATGCTTATTTAAATCTTATGTTTGGCTTTATAAGTTAATATACTTATTTTTTCACACATACTGCTTTAATTTATCCATTATTTGAACGAGGCAAATATTATAGCATAGCCAATAATGTACTGTACATACATTTACAATCATGTGTCCTGAAAGGATTTTATCATACCTAATGTTTCGTTTTTAAAAATAAATATGGAATGAGACATTTAGTACAGCTGATTGTATTTTTAAGTATGAATTTAGTACACATTTAATGCACTGATTATAGTTTTTGCTTCTATGTCTAATTTGCATGACATAGTTTTGCATTTCCTGACATTCTCTGTGTAAAATGCTTATCACTAATTCATTTCTATAATTAATATATTGTATAACTTCTATTTGGCCTATAAAGGATGCTTATTTAAATCTCTAAATAATATACAATAATTTCATACTTAGCTTTATAAGTTGATTTGTTCCATTAAAGTTGAAAAGATCTACATAAATAGTTATGTTTACCTATTACTATTCTTACCTTTCTATAGACATTTTCCCAAATCTTTGTCTAGAGCTTATTTCTTGCTAGTTTTGAACTTTATGCATATAGACTCGATGAGTAATATTCTTACCATTTCAAGAAACGACCGTTTAATACAGATAGGTCACGCCTTCAATCCTTTTTTCTGACATATTCCAGTAAGATTATAAGCATTAGGTCTTGCCATACTTTTTGACAGGAATGGAATGAACATATTCATTCCAGGGTACCCAGAAAAACAATGAATAGGAGACTGACCAAACAAGGTTATTTTGAAAGAAGGGATATCTGTAAACTGATATTAATCAGAATTCACTGCCAGCACCATGTTACTTGAGTAAGCATGCCAACTTACAGTTAGGACACTGGCGACATGTCACCTTTTTCAGATGAACTCGGTTTCCGGCTTGTTAAAGCTGATGGTATGATTGTTGTTCATCATTTGCTTGGATGAGGGAAGAATGTCTGTCCCACATGGAACACATAGGAGGTGGTGCAGTACATATTTGGGCAGCTATTCATCATGGTGGAAAAACTGCTCTTTATGCACTCCAGGGAAACATCAATGACACTTCCTACAGGCATATAGCTTTCCAAGATCTATACATAGTCTATCTTCTTCAGGGTGTATTTGTTTAGACACATAAAGAAATATTATTCTCTATTTTACATAGAGAAGATCAGGAAATGCAAAAATAGGTCATGTAAATTAGATAATGAAACAAAAACTATAACCAGTACATTAAATGTGTACTAAATCGATATTTAAAACACAATCAGCTACACTAACTGTCTCATTCCATATTTATTTAAAACAAAACATTAGGTATGATAAAATCCTTTCAGGACAGATAATTTTAAATGTATATTTAGTACATAATTGGCTATGCTATAATATTTGCCTCCTTTAAATAATCGATAAATTAAGATAGTATGTGTGAAACAAATACATACATAGAAATGGAAACTATATAGCAAGTGAATTAGTAATATTGATAAATGTTTTACATATAAAGTGTCAGAAAATGCAAAATGTATCTCATGCAAGTTAAATATAGAAGCCATAAATATAGAGCTAATGAATTAGTGAAGTGTTTTACATAAAGCAATGGGTAATTGTAAAAGTATGTAAGGTAAATTATTGTCAATAATATTTGCCTCATTCAAATAATAGATAAATTTATGCGTGAGAAAAACTGATATATGTAATACATTATGTTATAATAGTTGTCTCATGGATAAATTGAAATAGTATGTATGATAAAAACGTTTTTACATGACATTTTTAATACAGATTATCAGCAATGTTATAATAGTTGTTTCATTGAAATAATGGATAAATGAAGATAGTGTGAGTGATAAAAACTGACTTACATAATACCCTATGTTATAACAGCTGTCTCTTAAAATAATGGCTTTACTTGTAACTTTTTAGGACATATAATTATATCTAGACTACAATGTTGATGACGTAATCACATGTTGAAACACCCTACAAGTTACACGATCCACCTTTGTAAAATGTATGCAGTTAAATATATAAATGGAAACTATAAACATATATTGAGACAAGTTGAAATATGTACACAGTCCTATGGAAGTATTGTCCCACTATCCACCATCCAAGTTTGTAAAATGCACACAAAATGCCTAGTAAGATCATCCGCCTATATAACCTTAGTAATACCATCTGTCTGTAGAACCTTAGTAACTGTCCGCCTATAAAACATTAGTAACACCGTCTGCCTGTAGTAACAGGCCCTCAGGTATCGAACTGTGATGTCACCAGTCCCTAAGACAGCAGCGCCCTCTGATGCCACTTCGTGGAACTATGATGTAATCCCTCTCATAATACAGTAATGCCCTTTAGTGTGTATTACATAACAGTTATGTAACCCTCTGATGCCTATTACATATTGATTGTGTAACCCTCAGGTGTGAGCATAATTTGCATATTACATATTGATTATGTAACCCTCAGGTGTGAGCATAATTTGCATATTACATAATATTTACGTAACCTCCAAGCGGCATCCTTTGATATCCATTCACCTGGTGATTCCTCACTGGGGCGGTATCCTTTTGCCGCCAGGGTCTCTCCCTAATTATTCCTGACACTTCAAAAACTAAAATATGTATCGTAAAAAAGTTATTCAATTTACACCTGATATTAAGTCTCTTACATAACCAAGCACTTAACCGAAAGTCGCTCTTTGTTTAGCTATTCATGTTAGCAGGATAGGAGGTATTCTAGGCATTGTAAAAATCAAGGTTGTGCATATTATAGTGCAGCTAGAAAGACAATAAATTGATAAGATATGTGATTTCAAAACTTGTTTTAATGTTAATGTCTTTTTTTTTACCCTGCTGCTTAATTTAGAGGATGATGAGTCGCGTTTTTTCTCGCGCTACTACATTGCCTTCCAAAAGTATTCATACCCTGCAAATTTTCCACAGTTTGTTGTCGTCTGAGCTTCAATCTCGAAACTTTCAAATGGGACTTTATATTTAGAATCTACACAATCTACTCCAACTGAGAAAGCTAAAAAACGTTGATATTATGTACGTTCGATTTTCAAAGAAAGTTAGAATATTTTCATTTGAATAAGTATTCAACCCTTTTGCTAAGGTAATCTTAAATCAATTCAGGTGCAAAAGATCAGTTTGAAAGGTCACAAAATTAATGTAATGGTCGCTGTCTGTGTGTAATCAAAGTGATTTAACTTGTCTTAATAGTAAATGCAACTGTTCAATCCACAACTCACATAATAATATGACAAACCAACCATGAAGACCAAGGAGCTTTTCAAACAAGTCAGGGATAAAGTGGTAGAGAAGCACAGATCAGGAGAAGGTTACAAGAAAACTTCAAAGTCGCTGATTATCCTTTTGAGTGTGGTGAAGTCCATTATTAAGAAGTGGAATGTGCTTCACACCGCCCAATTTCTACCCATATCAGGCTAGCCTTCCAAACTAAGCAGCTGAGCAAGCAGGAAACTGGTTAGTGACTTTGAAAGATTTGCAAAGTTCAATTTCTGAGATGGGGGTCAGTTTTCATACATCAACAATATCACGGTCCCTACACAAAGCTGGCCTGTATGGGCGAGTGGCAAGAAAGAATACATTACTGAAAAAGAATCATCTTAAATCTCGTATGGAGTTTCTGAAACCACTCCAGGACATTCATTTTTTTCTTCATTGTCCTGCTAAAATGTGAATTTTGGACCCAGTTTTAGATTCTTGGCTGACTCAAGCAGGTTTTTCCTCTAGGATTCGCCTGTACTTTGCACTGTCCATTTCCCCCTCAATCTTAACAAGCTTCCCAGTCTCTGCCGATAAGAAGCATCCCCATAACATGATGCTGCCGCCACCATGCTTGGCAGTTGGGTTGGTGTTGACTGAGTGATGTGCTGTGTTGGGCTTGCGCCAGACGTATGACTTTGAATTTAAACAAAAAAGCTCAATTTTGTCTCGTCTGACCACAAAACCTTCTGTCACATGTCTGCAGTATCATTTACATGCTTTGCGCGAAATTCAAAAACAAACAAACAAACAATACTCATAAATCGATCATAAATGTGGTATTTGAAAAAAAAATACAAAGCGGTCCAAGAAAAATGGCTTATATAGGTAAAAAGATTTTTTAGAGTATTAGTCCTTAATATTTGTGTTATTTTTTCTATCATGTATTCTTGTATGTAAATTATCAGTGATGTCGTCACAGAGATGGTGTCAAACTTTTTTTTATTATCATCAGTAAGCAGTTACAAAGAAAATATTTTCCACTGGGACTATTGATAACTTATTTAAAGTTTCGATTACAACTAGTGACTGTTGCCCTCCAGCTTTAACCTTCCACTGAAACTGTTGATAGCACCTCTTCAACCACCCAACTTCTGACGAGTGTCCCCCGCTCTTAATCCCTCTGCTGGAACTATTAACAACTGTCCGTCATAGTTAACCTTTCTATTAGAACAATTAAAGAATTAATTTGTCTTCTGTTGGGATTGTTAAATGGTGACAACCGTTTTTAATCATGTCGTTCATCTTGAACCTTTC